GGCCTTCTATTTTCAGCTTTCTTCAGCAAGTAGAAATGTACCTATAATTGGCTCTCCTGCTTCCATTTCTCATTTCAGATGAAGCCTCCACTTTAACAGCTTCTCCTTGCTTACAGTTTGTTCTTTTAGAGGATACTTTGGGTGCCCACAATTTTGTATCAGAAGATGGTAGTTGAATGATCTTTGTAAGTAGTGTTGGCAATGGAGAGAAGTTTGGCTTCTTAAAAGAAAAACAAAAATTATATTTTCATGGGTTTGAATGACATGATCAGATAGTAAAATGTCCAAGACCAAGAAGTCTCACAAACACAATCTCTCAGCACTGTTGGACTGTCAGGACTAATGACTGTTTGGGAGCTAAACATTAAAGTGTTATATTTATTATCCATAACTCCTGTTCCCTTCAGCATCCCATCTTTACAGTATTGCTCTGCTTAGTGTTTCCTGGGAAGGACCTAAAGAAAGGAGAAACGCTTTTATTTGATGACTAACACTGCAAAGCAGTGGACTGGGAGAGGGTAAGGTGAAATTTGAGGATTAACAGTCATTTCATTTTCTTTATTTTCATTTGTATTTATTCCCAATCACTCATTTGAATTCTGACAAACTATAGAACCATTTCACCTGAAAAATTAAAGAGTTTATGTTTTTTTGAGGTATTTTCAGTGGTTTTGAAAAAGCCTAATTTTTGGTCAGCATCTGAATCTGTCCTTCCTGGCTCCACACTCTACTAGAGTTAACCTAATATGCATCTTTCTAATATTCCTAATAAGCATCTTTCTAATGTGGTCCTTTAGTTCACACCAGAACTAAATAGGTTGGACATTTAAACAGGAAAGAGATCAGGTTCTGGACTTGAGGTTTCCCTCTATTACTTGGCTGATATCGTTAATTGTTAATTGTGTCTAATTAAATTTTGATTTCTGAACATCTCATGAGATACTATACCAACTGACCATCTCACTTGTCACCTTATACCCCCAAATACCCACCATGTTTTGACCTTTCTGTAACCCATAAGATTCTTTATTCCTCATCAATCTTCCAGTGCAGGGTTTTTGTTCTTCCTTAATTCCTAAATTCACCACTCTACCAATTTTTGTCTTCTCCTTTATCTGGTGTTAACTTGAATCCTGACTTTGTGTTTTTATTGCTTTCCTTAACAGTTTCTCAGCCCATCTCCAGATTCATTGACCGTGGCCTCAGCGATCCTCTTCTCTTTACCAGAGACATTTGAATTATCTGATGTAGGCTAAAGTTTTGGAGTAGGAAGCAGTAATCGAACATGTGTGAGGTTTTAAGCAAGGGATGAGAATATTCAATGAAATCTACAGCAGATGGCTGAAGTGGTGAGAAACTGTTGTTGCCGTACCCTACTCCTCAAGCTGCAGAAACAAGGACTTTTAGCTCTGAAGAGCAGAGAGCAGGTCTAATTTACTTTTTTTACCCTCACTAAATAAAGGCCTGAATAATGGAATAAAAGAATTTAAAACTGAAAGACATCAAGCAGCATGAAGAAATATGGATATAACTAGAAGCGTCTATTCATGTCACCCGCCTTCCTCACTGGCTTTAAACTTTATGGAAGGGCTGGCAAGGAAATCAGGATACTAGGGAAGGAACAGTGCAAAGACAGAGGCAGATAAAATAAAGGTGGAATTGGTTGGTACCAGCTTTCTGGGTTTTGAACAGGTTAACATACCAGGACTCTAACCAGAGGGGTTGTTAATATATCTGCTAAGAGTGTATGGCCTGGGATTTCATAGGTATGATTTGAGTTATACTGTAAAAGTTTATTAGTTGTGGGGGCCTCCCCTGGTGGGGCAGCGGTTGAGCGCTGGGTTACAAAGCTGCCCACAGCCTCCGCAGCGCCGGTTCGATCCCCGGCCACGGGCGAGGGTCCCACATGGCGCGACAGACCTCTCCTGCCACCCACTGCTCCCCTCAGCAGTGTATTTCGTCAGTCTGCCTGTTCTGTTCCCTGTTCTGCTATGGTGAATTCTCTCACCCTCCCGTGATTCTGACTGTACCCAGTGCTTGTATAAATAAAATAAATAAATCTTTAAAAAAAAAAAGTTTATTAGTTGTGTAACCTCAGAAAAATTACCAAACCTCTTTGAAAGTTCGAGCTTCTAAAGCATAATGAAAAAATTGGTGTCACAGATTACTAGGATTAAATAAGAATGTAAAACATAAAACATAGTGCCTGATACGCAGTAAAAGATTAACAAATACTCATTGTCCATATGTACTATCTTTTTCAGGAAAAAGGAAGTTAATAGTGATTATTTCTTTCTAAAATTTTAGATTTAAGGCTCAAAGTGACAGGTATATCCCTCCTACACATCAAGGAGAAAAAAAATATTCACTAATCCAACACATTTTTAGACATCTTCTAACACTATGCCAAAACTGAGAATGCTGAGAGAAACAGACTAGCAGATAATATTGATTTACGGCAGAGGACACAAAGGATGAAAACCTTTATTTATTTATTTAGTCTTATATTTCATTCCCACACATATCTAAGGATAATTTAAATAATGCACATGCCTAAAGATAATTTAAAAAAAAAAATCTGTCCATACTTTTATCTGGAAAATCGGAGAAGTTAATTAACATCTGCACTTAAGATGTCAAAATATTTGTGGCTCTGACAACAAATATCACATATAGTTTATTTCTAAAACGACTCATCAGTTGTAAATTGTGCATTTAAGAATTAATTTATTAAATCCACAGTGTTACTCAGCCAAGCAAATATTGACATGATGTATCATCACAATATGCTCTCAATAACAGCTTTTACATTGCTAACAACTTTTGCCAGAAAATCAGAGATTTATGCCAAAAATCGGCTCTGCATTTTTCTGCCAACCTTGGCCAATGTTTTGTACCCACCGACAAAAAAACTACCAAAACAGATTCTGAATAGCAAAGTAGATAATAGGGCCATAAACCTACTTATCAAATGTTTCACAATTTTCACTATTGTTAAAAATGTATATATATTTACTAAACGAGTCTGTTTGTATAGACTATTGAATGTTAAAATTTTCAAGCAAGGTGAGATCAGAGAAATATTCCATCGCAAGCTCTTGGGCCCCTTCCATATTTGTCCTCTTTGGGAAAATATTTTAATATGATCCTAGGAAAAAGTGATGATACACATGCAATGATCCACAGTGTGGACTTTCTAATGATATACACCTAGGAGTCAATCCCATTGTAACATTGGACTCTTTAATCTAAAATGTGGCTTCCTTATCAGTAAAGTGAAGGAATTCACACTGGCATTTTGTGGGGAGATTAAGACTTAAATGAGATAATACATGTATAGTGCCAGAATGCGCTCAGTAATTAAAAAAGGATTTGAGGCACATCTTCACTGTTATATGCTTACTTCATTTGGTAGATACTATTTGTGAGACTTACAAATTTTAGGGATCCCAAGAAAAGAGAATGAATCTTAATCTTATTTCATCTCCAGTAGTTAGCAATATCCATGATATAGCTAACAATTAAAATATATATTTTGAAATGGGAGAAAACGGTTTTCTGGGAGATATTTCTTAAACAGTACATTCCTTGCTTCAAGAAGTGGGGAAAAGTATCAATATCCACTCATCAATTATTCTGGCTAAGAAAGTTACCAGGTAGGAGACACACATAGCTGCAATTCAGTTTTTGATTTTATGTATTCTTCCAATTACATACTTACTGAGTACCTGCTATGTGCAAGACAATTTGGAAATACCATTTAAGTCATGATATTATGCTTTTATAAAATTACAATTTAAACCAGGGACAAATATTATACTACTATATTTAATAATTGTTATAATGGAAGAGAGTGGAAGAGTGTGGAAAGTGCAATGGTATTTAATTGAAACACTTAACCCTGCTTGGGAGTAGTGAGGAAAGGCTCTATGGCTTATGAAGAACAAATGTTCCCCCTGGAGATATAATATGGCAAAGCAAAAATGCTAAGTATTATTAGTAGTTCAGTGTAGTTGCAGTGTGAATGGGAGAACTGTAGCAGTAGTCAGGATAAATCACTCTTAACCAAGACCAGGTCTTGAAGGGCCTCCTATGTCCTGAAAATTATACAATTTTATACAGAACTTTTGACTAGTGGAACTACATGAACATATTTTCATGTCCAAATGCTCATTATAACTGTGTGGAAGAATAAAGAGACTAGAGGCTTTTATAACAGCATGTATGAGATGAAGTCTTTAAGACAGTGGAGATGGGTCTGAGATATATTTTTATAAAAAGAATCAATAGAATTTTGGTTTCCTGTGGTAAGAGAAATGAAAATTTAGTGAGTTGCAAATATCTGATTTTGGCAAGTCAAAAGATAATAGGTTAGAAAGGCTGAACTTTTTGAGACTAATTAATGGTTCAGTTAAATAACCTAGTTTAAATATTATCCATCTCCAGCACTATCAGAAAGTAGAGAATTTGTGGATTGGAGGTACTAATTGGTAAGTCTGGTTGGAAGATTGGAAAAGCAGGTTATAAGGGACTAACTACACTTGTAGCTGAATTTTCAAGATATATGAAAAAAAAAACCACAATAAATTGTTTGATAAGGCTGATGAAGGTGGGATCACAGTCCTAATCCCCGGATGCCAGACCATATATAGTACTGGAATCCTTAATTATCAAAATTTGGTTTTTAATTAAAATCCTAAAATCTTACCATATTTATTCCTTGTATAAAAAAATACCATTCATGATCATTATGTATGTATTTAAAACCCTGAAATGAGAATTTAAATCTAACACATTGCTTTTTAAATTTGTAATTCAACACAGATATAGTACATTACAAAAAAAAAAAAAAAAACCTGAAAAATTCTCCTAATAAGATGTTGAGAATTCCCAAGTCAAACAAGGGATCAAATTTCAAAATTCAACTTCTTAAAGCTATTTTCTTCTACAAATGGATATAAGTCGACATTGTTTTGAATATGTGAACATTTATGTCAAAATATTTAACATATATTTGATACTTTGGGAGGATTTACATATGTAAAGCATATGCATATGATTTACATAATTCTGCAGTCTTATAAATGGCCTCAAGAACACTAACATAGTTAACTTCAGATTAAAGTATATTGTTTCCAATTCATAAATATTTCAAGGCCCTTGAGTAATTTTTTTTTTAAGATTTATTTATTTATGCATATAAGAGCTGGGGTACAGGCCAGAGATGAGGGGGAGGAGGAGAGGATTCACCAGAGACAGAGTGGGAAACAGAACAGGCAGATTGACCAAAGTACACTGCTGAGGGGAGCAGCGGGCGAGGCAGGAGATGTCTGCTGCTCCATGTGGGTTGCTCCCTGGTCGGCCCGGGATAGAACTCAGGCTGCAGAGGCTGCGGATTGCTTCATACTGTGTTGCTTTACCCCTTACACCACCAGAGAGGCCCCTATCCTTGGGTCATTTTTAATATTGAGGGGAGGGGGGCTAAATAGGCCTATATTTTCTTCTCATTGACTTTTCTTTAAAATAACTGATTTTAAGATATAAAATACTCAAATAACTACTGGACTTGAAATACCTTAAAAGGAGTCTTTATCACCAGTGAGACTGTTAGCAAGCATCTTTGCACTGAGCTACTAAAAAAACTAGTGCAATTAGTATCCAAGATTCTAGAATGTATTTATTACTTTGGCGCCTTAAGATACCATTTTCTTCATCTACAAAGTGGAAAGATCAGCCTATCATTCTCAAACCCAGCTGCAGAGCAAAAATCATGAGGACTTTTTTTGGTAAACAGATTCTTTTACTCCATTACCAATTTAATGATATAAATTTTAGGGGTGGTTCCCAGAAATTTGTATTTTTGATTCCCCTAGGTTACTTTGATAATCATCCAGACTTGGGAACTACTAGCTTGACAATTACTATTTTCTTTATCTGTCAAGTAGCCTGGCATTTGAAAATATATACACACTTTTATGACCATAATCATCTATCATCATTCATCTTCCTACGCCCCCCCCCCTTACATTTGTTACACACTGGCTCAATAGGAATGCTAAGAGCTCTAATAATAAAGAGGAGTAGACAATAGTTTATTGTATAACAAAATGTATTTTCAGATGTTAATTATGTGCCAATAGTGCATTTAAAATATACTTCAAAACAGTCTTCACAAAGAACCTACAGATTACATTTATTTAATAACAAAATATCTAGTTCTTTAAGAAAATGTTTTGTTCTTTTTTTAAAGATTTAATTATTTATGCATACAAGAGCTGGGGCACAGGCCAGAGATGCGGGGGAGGGGGGGGTGAGAGAATTCACTAGAGACAGAGTGGGAAACAGAACAGGCAGGCAGACTGAAGTACACTGCTGAGGGGAGCAGCGGGCGAGACAGGAGAAGTCGGCTTCACCATGTGGGTAGCTGCCTGGCTAGCCGGGGATTGAACTCATGCTGCAGAGGCTGCAGATTGCTTCACAGTGAGGTGCTTAAGCCCTTGGGCCACCGGCGAGGCCCCAAGAAAATGATTTGAATTTAAGAACTTACTACAATAAAATTTTCAAACCAATGAACAAAAATATGACTTTATGGTATACAAGACAAAAATTTTGAGCAAATGAAGCTTAATATTGTTAAGGAACAGGGTTCTTTGAGCATTAAATTTTGTTTATAAAAATAAAAACTTCACTAAACATCAGCAGTACACTTTTCTGCCTCAGCCAAGACATTTTCCTTTACAATTCAGAATCCTGCTGTTCATTTGTAAAAATTTAAAAATCTGATTAATTTCTTAAACTTAACTTCAAGTATCACCCTTCAGAGGTTGATTCTATTTCATTTCCTTATACATTTTTTTGTCTTCAAAAAATCTAGGGCCTATGATAGGGAAGGTATTGAAACACACTAGGTAAATGTTGGTCATACAGTACTTTATTTATGAATATTTGAGTACTGAAAGCCTACTACATTTCCAGGACTAGAAAGAACAAGACTCCTGCCTGCTCACCATCTAGAACACAGGAGCGAGCATTGGTACTAATTCATTGCAAACCTTCACTTCATCTTTCAAGATCTGTGTAGATGTTGATAAGAGCGAATGAAATCTACTTCCTTACATATTATTCTCATAAGGGGAATTTTGGAAATCTGTATGTTGACAAAGTCTGTACTTTGCTTTCCCTAATTGCTTTCTGCTCTTTAAACAATGTCAAATATTTGGTTTTCCCCAACATACCCTCTGCAGTTTTGCGTATGGGGTGGCTAATACTGTGACACTCTGCTTTCTACTGTCTTTTGTTTTTTTGCTCCCTACAGGAATCCTGGTCATTTGGACTTTCCCATCTTCCCTTTCCCAGTTTCTTAGTCAATCCTATGACTAATAACACTACGGGTTGAATCTTCAGTAAGCACTGTTAATTAGCATCCTCCTTGTAACAATACAGTCTTTCTGAACGCTATTAAGAAATATTTCACAAAAGACAACTGTTTCTTGAGGATTCCTATTTTAAAGACTGTTATTTAAAGATTGATAAAATACATTACTCAGCAAAGGATGCTTCTAGTTTATTTTCAATTCTCACCATTACAAGTATTGGGTTCTGCAAATCAGTTAAAACACTGTAGTGTAGGATATCAATTTTACACATAAGGGCTATAGAATTTATCTGACATTAAATTTGTATGAATATATAAAATTTGAAACTTAAAAACCTAACTGATAAAAAGTGTAGTTAAGCATCCACAGATGTCTACATCATGAATTTACCATGAATTAAATGTAGTTAAAAATTTGACTATTTAAGTCTGCAAGTCAGATGTTATCAAGCAAACTGACCTGCATGATCGATAATCCTTTACAATTTTTAACTCAAAGACAAAGAGGAAGATTCAGCCAATTTTAATTTTCTAAACATTTTCTCTAAGAATCATCAGATGCATCCTTCAGTTATTGAGACACAGATGGATAATCCATTTATCCCAAATGAACTACCTGTGTGTTGTGAGGTAGCAATGAAAGATTATGATCTTCTGTGGAAATGGTATCCTCAATGCATACGCAGTCCCTCTTCCCATGGAGAAATGTGAACAAGAAGGGACAGTCATCTTTTCGTCACTTCATCAATAATTGGTGTTTTCATAGAATTTTTAAATGCCTGATTTCAATTTTAAAACAACAGCAACAATACCAATATTTATTCTGAAAAGAATTACGTTCCGAGTAGCAGATTTTAACACCTTCCAACACGATCTCTAGGAATAATTCGTAGTTCTGAACCATGCTTTAGAAAAACATTTCCTACGTAAACAAACAAAACATAAAGTTAGTACATAAAAACCAAGTTAACATTAAACCAAGTTAACCAATGTTAACATTCCAATCATTATTATATACAATAAACAAAGTGGTGCAAATAGGTACAAAATCTCAATCATCATCAGAACTCAATTCCATTCTTTTTTACTGCCTATTCCTACTCCTGTCACATTTTCAAAACCCTACAAAAATCTGAAAGTTTTAAATAAGAACACTAGCCATGAGAGACCTTCCTGATGGCACAGGGGTTAAAGACACAGAGCTATCAAACCACTGCAGCAGAGTATGATGGCCAGCCAGCCAGGAGCTAACCCACATGGCGCAGCAGACGTCTCCTGTCTCACTCACTGCTCCCCCAGTATTTTAGTACACCTGCCTCTTCTGCTCCCCACTCTGTCTCTGCTGAATCCTCTTACCACCCCACACACCTCTGGCCTGTACCCCAGTTTTTGTATGCATAAATAAATAAACCTTAAAGAAAAAAAAAGAACACTGGCCATGAGAATACTAACAAAGAAACTCAGCAAATAATAAGTTGATTTAATAAATACTTGTTTTAAATCACAATAAAATGCCCAGAGACAGAAAAAACAGATCTGAATCATCTGAGTTAACATAAGTGATGAGAGTTTCAAAATGCTGAAACTATTTTTGGCTCATTCCCTATTTAGATTTTCTTACATCTCATGATATAACCATTCAACTTTTAAGGGCAATACAATAGATAACACATTACAGTAAGCAGTCGTTCATATTAATGAACCAGACATTTCTATAATAAGAAAAAACAAAACCCTTAAACTTAAATCTAGAGGTACCCCTACAATGAAATATACCAGGATTTTCAATGAATAACCTTTTTTATTTAATAATATTATAGACTTAAAGCTACTGATTGAAGTTTAAAATTACAATTTTATGTCTATTTTCTGTATGTTTGAATTTCAATCCCAAGAGTCAACCGCCATATCAACAATATAATTTGTTATAATACAGAAGTACTTTGGAAAAACATAATTTAAAATTATCTACTGCTCAAAATGAAGGTCATATTTAATCATGCTTCATTTCAAAACATTATAATTAGATTACAAGCCAAAAAGAATATATCTAAAAAGCATAAAACTTCTTAAAAGTTTCAGACTACTTCAACCTTGTTAGGACATCAATATATACAGGACTGTATAATGTTAAGTTTGAAGCTCTCAGTGTAGGCTTAACCCCCTGAAATTTAAATGACCACAATTTTTAAAAATAGTCTTAACAGTACATTTTAAATAATTACTACAGATAAGGCAACTTTTAAGCATTTTATATACACTTCCGCATAATTTTAAGTCAAAATCATTATTCTAATTAAGAATATTACATTACCTTCAGACTTTTTGTTGTGTGTTAAATGTTTAATGTTTATTAACGAATAAGCTCAACTAAGTCTTTTTATTCTTACAGATAAAAGCATATATGATTGATACATATAACGAAACCAGTTATTACTTGGACACATCAGTCGAGACTACTATATGATGTCTTAAAAAAGCTATTATTACAGTAAAGTCGTAGCAAATCTCTACATGGAATGAATTAAATATTCAGTATACAGTTCCCCACAACTATGTAAATTCAGACAGATACTCACCAGCAGTCTGTGCAGGATTTATTCCTATTCCATCTAAAAAATAAGTTTTAAAATCACCTAAGTTACTTCTAAAGCGAAAATGGCTTAGAAAGAGATTTGCAAAACAGTGCTGCTATGCATATAGGCACAACTTATATCCAAGAAATCCAATTTCAAGTAAATTATCTCCTGAGATCTATTACTATTAGCTATTTAAGCACACTGCTGGATTAGACAAGAACGACTGAAATGCAAAGATCCTGATAAATCCCGAGAAGAGTTTTGTTGTTCCATTGTGCCGCATGCAGTGAAAAATGAAGCAAAACCACCTTAGATATTAATCATTTATATAATGTTCCAAGGCTAAAATCTCTTTAATTTTTTAAATATATTTTTCAAACATCCTTGTTTATTTTTCACAATATAGGATTTCTCCCTTAAGGTGTGGTCACCATAGTTTTCACACTAAAGTACCCACAGTCCTTTACCACACTCCAGCCAGCTCTCCTCCTTCCCTATTCTCTCCTCTCTCCATCTACTCTCTCCCCTCCTGAGTGTCTCAGATCTATGGTCTGCTTTCAAGGGTCTTAGGGCTTGTTTTTGTCTGATCCTTTGTTTGACTGCTCTATAAGTGAAACCATTAAGTATTTATCAAAGCGTAAAATCTTAAGGGTACAAGCGCCCACAGAGCCATTTAATACCCTCTGATATGTGATAAAGGTTTAAAAGCATCTTGCTAATTGCAGATCATTTGTGACTTTAAAACCAGAGAGTAAGCTAACTTTCTTCCAGAGAAATACTCAAGGTGATAGATGCAGAATCTTTTAGAAAAATAAGAAATTCTGTCATATCTAAATTAAGTCATGCTATTGAACATGAAACCTACTTTTTGATTACTTTCACCCAACTGCACATAAACCACCAACAGAACCCATTACTACTTTGTATTCTTGACTAAACCCTCCTGCAATCTTTACTCATCTTACATCAGTACATTTTTCATAAGATCATCAGACTTATTAGTAGTATTCTAAGATACTTAGAATTTAAATTACCTATCTCATTGGATACAATCTTCATTATTTCAAGCATAAAACAGAGTTTTCTATCAGGAAAGCAAATACAAATATAGTAAAGGTACATTCTTGCTTAACTTCCTTTACTCTAAGGACATTTACTAAAAAAATTTACAAAATGGAAAAGTTATTTTCTTTAATAATCTGGTATGAAGTGATAAGGACAAAAGATATTCTAAAGTGCTGTACTATACCAAAAGCACAAAGAAACTGAAAAGTTAATTGCAGACAGTAGCTTTGAGTGAATTATTGACAGTTTATAATTATGAATATCATTTATGTTGATATAAATTGGGAGCTTTTTGTATTTATAGTCTTTTAATTTATTTAAAACAACTTCTATAGTTGAGGTAAAAAATCATTTTAAGATGAAGTCTTACCATTAGTAATAATTGCACTTGTTGCTGCAGGAACTTTAAACTAAAAGGGAAGAAAAAAAAATTACATATGATTCTATAAACTATATGAACTATACACTATATGCTTATATATACTATGCAGTGTATACTACACACATAGTAATATATATTATACACATAACTATAACATGTATATACATAATATACAAATATATATATATGTACAAAGATGTGCTTTCTGAATCAAAGAAATATGTTATGGAATGTATTGGTGGCTAAAAGGTAGAATTCTTTCTTCATGTTCTAGAGACCAGCAGTTTAATGTGTATTCACTTCCTCAAAGTTCATTGTTTATCCAACATATTCTATTAAAAAACTCTATACTATGAGCTAGTTTTATAGCTATGATAGTTATTTTGCGAGCAAGTAAATTTGGAAAACACTACTACGTTTTACTAGCAGTCTCTATAAAATTCTTTAATATGCTGCTTAATGTAACTCCAAAGGGAAAACAAAATCAATGAAGTGTTTCCCATTTTTCTTTTGGTTGCAGAGTCCAGTTTTACTTTTTCTTTTGGTGTTCCAATAGTCTGGGCAAAGTATTGTGGGAAATGCTGTTCTAAGAGCTATTTATAATAATCACACAATATGGATGCAAAGTTGAGAAAAAAACTTAAAAAAGCTTATTTTAATCTATGGACTGAAGAAACAAATTCCAAAATAAGAACTTTATATAAGAACCATTATCTGTTACAGTATTTTTGTGTACCTATAAATAAGTTTATTATGTATATGGTACATTCATAATTGGAAATGTCCTTTAAGAGATTTAAAATTTTTAATAGATGTTTTAAAACTTCAATCAAATACCTAAATTAATTACAGGACATGTTAGATTTCCAAAGTGGGAATATTACACAATTTCTAGTTACATTACTGTGTAAAGTAACTTAGAAATAATTCTTAAATTATGCCCATTATATGATAAGCTTTGCATTTCCTTAGACACACAAGGTGAACATATTTTACTAACAGAAATCAAAAACAACTGTTTGACACAATTTTTCCACTTTTCCAGAATATAGGAGCAACAGTTAAGTTGGATTTTAGGGAAGGGTCACTAGTGATGCTAGTAAAATACAGTAACTACTACTTTTGTCCTACAGTACAGACAAGCTTTCTTTCTCTTGCATGCAAAGTGTATTTTATGCTCCTCAGTTTTCATTTTTTTCTCAGCTCCCTTCAGAGTTGTAATTTAGGGCCTCTCCGGTGGCGCAGTGGTTAGAGCAATGGGCTGCGAAGCTGCCTGCAGCTTCCGCAGTGCCGGTTCGATCCCCCACTGCCAGCAAGGGTCCCACATGGCATACACCTCTCCTGCCACTCCTGCTGCTCGCCTCAGCAGTTTACCTCAGTCCTTCTGCCTGTTCTACTCCCCGTTCTGGCTCTGGTGAATTCTCTCACCCTCCCGCGCTTCTGACTGTACCCAATGCTTGTATCAATAATAAATAAATCTTTAAAAAAAAAAAAAAAAAGAGCTGTAATTTAGGCTGTTAAGAGGTTCTTTTTAGGATTTTATAATTCACTACTTAGTTAAATTAATTTCCAGTCATGTATTAGATAATTTTATTTATATTAAGAGAAGTTTACTAATGATTTAAATCTAGATTCTTAGTTTAAGTCAACTCTTGTTCTCAAAGATTCTGCAATTTCATATTGTGAAAGGCCTTAGTGCTATAGCCTGAAAGTCCTATCCTTTCTAAATATGTAAAACACATCTATAATAATTAGCTATGTTAAAATTTTAATCAATACATGTGATTGTGTTTGTTAGTCTGTAGAATTTGTTAATTTATTTTTTATTACAAATCTGTTTTGTTTTCACTAGGATTTGTTTCACTAGAAGACCAAGACCATACCGAAGCTTTACATCTTAAAGCACAAAATAACAGCAAAATATAATAACAAATATTAATAGTAATATAAATATTAGTGCAAAATAATAGCAAAATATAATGACAAATATTAATTCCAGCTTGAACAGTTCTACTTCTTAACTGAGTTTTTGTGGGATCTGCTATGTCCAAAACAGGTATATTTCCTGCACATGATTATCAGCAGTAACCCCAATGCCTTACATAGATTTATTTCCCATCTTTTAACTTATTCTTTGTGCATGAATAATAGATCAAAATTGACAATAAAGAAGGTAATGCCACTTAAATTTAATTCTGAATGAGTGATGTCACAATCCTTTAAAATAATTGATATGGAGTTGTAAAGCACCACTGGGTTGGCTGATTTTCTGTCTAACACTTAAATACAGAATAAGATCATGGGTTATGCTGGTTTCTGGTGTATTCACTTACTAAAATTATTCAGTGACTATAGACCTTTTTAAAAAAAAAAAAGATTTATTTTTTTTATTTATACAAGAACTGGGGTACAGGCCAGATGCACAGGAAGGTGAGAGGATTCACCAGAGACAGAGTGGAGAACAGAACAGGCAGACTGATGAAATACACTGCTGAGGGGAGCAGCGGGCATGATAGGAGCGGTCTGCCGCACCATGTGGGACCCTTGCAGGCCAGCCGGCTGGCCGGGATCTAACCGGCGCTGCTAAGGCTGCGGACAGCTTCACAGCACTGCGCTCAACAGCCCTCGCTACCAGAGGAGGCCCGACTATAGACTTTTTTGAATATTTTAAACAAAAACATCTGGATTTTGGTTATTTTGTATCAATACTGTACTTTTAACCTCACAAAATTTTAGTAAATCCTATTTGTACTCACAATCATTTAATCATATATGAAGGGTAGGCATTACCTACTCTCATTTTGCAACTTGAGAAACTGAGGAAGAGAGAAATTGAAAGGCATGCCCCATGTCACACAGATTGTCAACAACACAATTACAACAGGAAACAAGTCTCCCAAGTCATATTTTGGTGTCATCGCCACCAGACCAAGCTACTCTTTTAATTGTCATGTTTAGAGTTGTTATAAACTTGCCTCTAATAATTTTGGATGGAAAAATTTTTCTCTTAAAAACAGATGTTTTGAAAACCCAGCACTTTTTTAAAAACAAATTTTGCCAACAGTGAACACAGATCAATATAGAAAATTTGAAAAAAATATGATAAAGATATAAAACATTCTAGAATTGACATTAGTAAGACTGAGTATATAGAAAACAGCATAGGTGGCTTTAAAAAGTTACATATCAACACCTTTTCAAATTGTCCTTACAATTACAATGGTTGCATTAAATAAATGTCAATTTGTTTCACTCATTCTTCTCATATCTGTAAGTCAGTCTTAATTTACAACCTACTAAAATCAAGGAAGGCTGACCTTTTTGATAACATAATCTTCATAATAAACCCACATAGACATGGTGGGGGGAAGTGCATGAAAAATTTAATGGTTTTTGAAACATGGTGCCAAAGTACATTTCAAACAGGTTATTTCAATTTCTATACTTACTTCTTCTGCTGCAAACTTTAAGACTGCTGTGAAAGGTGTGCTTTCAGGAACACTAAGCCTGCAAAAAGAATTTTAAAAGTTTATTTGTTAAATAAGTTTGTCCCTTATTTCAGTTATTGAGGCAGACCTGGACAAAGCTGTTTTATGAGCTTGAAGGTCAGCGATATTGACTGCACACTACGCTAACTCTAAAACAAAATAAAGTATTTAACCATACATCTGAGATGGTGACCATATTGCCACCTGAAAATCAACCATCTCTACAGGTGCAGATTTTTGTATTTTTGATACTTCGATACAAATAGATCTAACACATAGCCTGCTGCTTGTTTTCAGAGATGGGTTTCAAAGTGTCCACTCTGCTGCCTAGAGTCTAAATGCCATTCAAGTGACACAGCAAGGTCATCAATTTCATTATATAAGTGGACCCTATCTGGGAAGCATCATTGGATCATAAATTTTTTCATGAACTTTCTGTGCATTTTTAATAATCACATCATTTTGTAAAATTAGCACTTACGTCTACTGTTGTTTTGAAAAAATGGAAACTTCTGTATATTAAAGCGAATTTTTAAATTATTAGCATAATTTGCTTTTTTTTTTTAAATAAACAGACATGGCAAGTATTGTCATAAACTGTAAGAACAAACTTTCTGTAGGCAACTAAAGAAGTTACAGAAATCTTTACAGAGATGAAATTTTGATTAAATGATGTTATTTGTCAAAATGTGGTGGCCAATAGCCTTCATTCCAAGAACAGAAAAGAGTATGTGTAAAAGCAGGAGAAGTATGAGAAGTAATTGTCAATTCTTGCTGGCCAATTTGAGAGTAGGGTGGTTGAAGCTTTCATTTAGTTACAGTGGAAGTGAGGAGAAAGGGTGAAGGGAAGGGAAGTATGATCGGAGAGAAACAGTGGAGTATGACTGAAAGAGCTAAGGGTGATTTTAATTCATCCTGTATATTAAAGAGTATAATCTTTAATATACTATAACATTTCTATAACCTAACAGCAATACCAGCAGAGAATCTATGAAAACAAAAAAACCACAAATTCTGACATCCCCTCGAATCAATCTAGAACAGAAATATCCCTTCTAGAATTCATCTATTAGTAATGCTGAGCTCCAAGGGAATTTCCATCTCAAAATATGTTTATCTGCTTGACAAACAAAATGTGATATTAAAATGTTAAAGAATGTTTTCCCCCAAATCTTAAGAGCTGTTTTTCACTTAGTACCCAAGAACCAGCTACCACTTAATTTGAATAAGATATAGCATAACTATCCTACATACACACACATTCAGACTATATTTTATATAAACAATCTGTAGATTTATACCATAATATGTACTACAAAATCTACATCTATGTAGATTATACATAAGCACTATACATACACTAGTGGATATGTCTACTTAAGACATTCAGCCATCATATATTAACTGCTATGTTCCAGGCACGATAGACACTGATACTGTCCATACTCTATACTCTTTCTCATTCTTTATTTTTCATAGTGTATTTACACATCAATGCAAAACCACTATAAAAGTAAAAATCAAAGATGATAAAGAGGAAGGGATCTCTGGAACCCCTACTTTAATCTTGAGAAAACTAAAAGATCCAGAGCCCAAGGGATAAACTGACTTTTCATAGGAGTAAAGTCATGCTTTCCACTGTGACAGGACAGTGGACAGAAATTGAGTTTACAAATATAGTGGTAGGTTTATAGATGTGGTGATGTAAAAGATGAGAGTATTTTCCTCTGATGCCTTGAGAGAAAGGGGTCAGGAGTATATAAAGTGTGAAGAGACATTTTTTAAAAGCCTATAAAGAACAAAGAGGAAAATCAGCAAACCTGGGAATGTAGCACAGACATTCAGTTATACAGAGAACACAAACGGTTGAGTTCAGAGTTAGTGTTTCATTAAGCTAAGTATACTGGAGGTAAGTCAGGGTAAGGGCACCAGAGTTGACGGTGGTTGCAAGAATGTGATTTAAAGATGGATCATGAAATATAAGCTGGATTAGAAGAAAAGGAGTGGGGTAAGGAAAAGGGTAGAAGGTAATTACAGATTAAAAAGCTGTGTAATTAATGAATTAAGAAAAATATTGTCTCACAAGAGTAAATCAACTGGAACAAGAGAAGGTGATTATTCACAAGAAATTGCTAGAAAATGATATTTTAGAGGTGGAACAATTACTGTGGTTCTCAAGGTTCTAGGCTGTAACCATGAATACTTGAGATGATGTATAAGACCACTGGGAAATAAACAATATGAGAGCAAAGGACAGCTAAGTCACTGAGACGGATGACAGCTACTCTAATTCAATAGGTAGGTAAAGATACTAATTATTTTAATTATGCATTCAATCACTGGTCTTGGCTACATTTCACAAGACTTTTAGCTGCAACAATTTCAACAAAATTTAAATCATAAGAAGATCCAGATGAATATGTGTTCAGATTCATACTAACCCATCATTCAATTGCTAAAGGATTAGTAAAGGCTCCACATGGATAAAATACCCTATTTTTGTGTTCCCCATTCCCACTAAACACTATTAAATCCCTATATACATAATGTCTGATTTGAGGTTCATTATTTTGTGGTGACCAACTCTTGAATCTCACACAATAAGATAGATTCAAGAGCCTGAGAGTAATAAATGTTCAAACTCAACATCACTTACTATAAGAGAAATGCAAAACAAAATCTTACCCCTAAGAGAATGTCCTGTATTAAAGACTGGAAACAAGAAATGTTAGTGAGGATGCAAAGAAAATGAACACTCATTCACTGTTGGTAAGAAAGTAAATTGGTGCAGACTGTATGGAAAACAGTATGAGAATCCTTAAAAAGTTAAAAATGTAAATACCATATATTTTATCAAAAGGAGTGCTGGTATTTACCCAAAGAATGTAAGAACACTAATATGAAAAGACATGCACCCTTCTAATTACAGCAGCATTATTTATAATAGCAAAGACATCAAGCTAAATGCCCACTGACAGACAACTGGATAAAGAAATGCTGGTATATATACTCAGTGGAATTCGACTCAGCTATGTAGGATGAAAAAGTGCCTTTTGGGATAAAATGGATGGCTCTTGAGTTAACTATACTAAGTGCAATAAGTCAGAAAATGAAAGACAATTACCAGATTGTTTTTCTCATTTGTGGAATAAAAATAACCAAACAAATTAAGTTGGAAAAACACGACAAAATATCTCAGACTCTAAAAAATAGAGGTGAGAGGGAAGTTTGGGGGTGGGGAGCAAACATGAGCGTATAATGGCTCTGAAGATTTACTGAAGAGTGAGTGAAAAGTGCACATGGTGAATTTGAAGTTGTCCTTCCAAAATTACACAGTTAAGCAAACGAATAACAAATCAATAAAATTGTATTAAAAACTAGTTTTGGGATCTGGATTGGGCTGTCTTCCCTTACTTCCTCTAACAGCTGGTAAAAAGTGGCGAAAGGCTTTTCTAATTACTAGCAAACAGGGACTGTTCGAAGATCCCCGAGCAAATCACCAGAGCCCCAGTCTACACCACCATCCAATAATGAGTTCTGAGGGCAGGTCTCACAGCAGCACACACCCCACCCTAGGGCCCCCTGCATAAGACACTCAAAGGAGCGGCCTCGAGATCTCCTTTGAGTGTCTTATGCACTGAGAAGTGCGGGAGAGAAGGGATGCAGGTCGGCTGAGGTGGAAACTGAGTGGAAGGCTGAGATCCACTTAGCTGGCTCCTCCCCGGCGCCCAAAGACCCCCCGCAGCAGCTGCTCACACTTTGTAAGGCAGGCGCGGATCCGACGTCAGCGTGATCTTAAAGGAAACCTTGGACCTGAGGAAGAAAGCGGAAGAGAGTTAAGTCCGGACCGCGGGACCGACGCTGGGGCGCAGGGTAAACAAAAACTTACATGGTGGAGCCGGTCTGGGCAGAGACCCCAAGTCCAGCACGCCCGGTAGCCCCACTTCCGCCGTGGTACCGGCGAGCGCTCCGCCCCACTCAGTCCACGTCTCCCGGAGCACGCTGGGGACCTCCAGAGTTGTTGTTGTCCAAGGTGGTGCCTGCAAAATTGGCCCTGGAGGTAGAAGCTGCACGGAGCCTCCACATGACACATAGCTATTTTTTTTTGTCTATACATGTATGGGATGAAAATGCGGATCGTAAGACAGAATAATTTTTAATGCAGTTATTTGAGGCAGTATTTTTAATCAGGCACTACAAGCGCAGAGCAGAGACAGGAGGACTCTAGGTCCGGCTGGCAAGTTGGGGCGGAAGTAAGGGGTAGGGCCCAGCGAGTCCAAGCGAGGGTGGACGAAGGGCGTGGCGGCGGGCGTGGCGTGGGCGTGGCTTGAGCGGACGCGCTTCGGAGTTGCTAAGGCAACCCGGAGACACTGCTGGTGCTCAAACTGGACTCTAGCTCCGCTTTGTTATTTATTGATTATTGATTTCCAACAACCCAGTCCTCACTTTTTACATTTCATTGTTTTTTTCTTCACAGTTTTCGCTGCAATGCTGACCTCTGAAGTTCAGCAGATAATTTTCAAGTTGGTGAGACAGACAAAATTCTTTCTCCTGAGGAATTTGAAGTTTAGTTGTACTTGAAGTTTAGTTGAATTCACTAGTTTGTTATGTAGTCTATTAGAGTTAAACCAGGGCACTAGATTTCCGAACATAAGCCACAGTTATTCAGTATCCTGACAAACATTGAATCCTTTGTTCTAAGCATTGAAGCTAAACGCTGGGAATGCCAGGTTGAGAAAGCTGCCAGCCCTATAAGGTCTAACGGAAGTTCTTGTATAATGAGAGAAGGTTGTTTTTCCTCCAAATTGTATTACAATTCTAAACATCTGTATTTGGAAAATAAAGTTTCTTCTCATAATGCCTGTAATGCTCATTTTGAGAAACACTGCATTGAATAACAAAAAGAAAACAGGAAGGCACTAAAATAATGGAGAAAATCTAGTTAATCTTTAGGCCATATGTTAGATTCTTGGGGAGAGATAGCTAAGAGAGGAATATGAAGGGACTGTCGTGGGAGTGCCAAATGCCAATTTTGTCTTTGCCCCAATTTTGTAGCAGACTGCTCTTCTATGATGAGATCTCCCTACAGAAAGAGTGCTGGTTCTGATTGTAGGAAAAGAAGACTCCAGGATTCTCATGACAGAGGTAGTCTTCATTAAAAATGTAGGTCTTTCTTTTTGTGGTGGATCCTTTCCCTGAGGACTTGCTTGACTGATCACAAAAATCTACAAAGAGCTGACAAGACTCAACAGAATCAAAGGAAATAACCCAGTCAAAAAATGGGCAGAAGAGCTAAAAAGAAACTTCTCCAAAGAGGAAATGCATATGGCCAACAGGAATATGAAAAAATGTTCAACATCACTTGTAATCAGGGAAATGCAAATCAAAACTACTATGAGATACCACCTTACACCAGTGAGAATGGCATGTATTAAAAAAAACTAGTAACAACAAATGTTGGTGAGGATGTGGAGAAAAAGGAACTCTCCTGCACTGCTGGTGGGAGTGCAAACTGGTGGAGAGCTGTGTGGAGATTCCTCAATCTGCTAAAGATGGAGCTTCCATATGATTCAGCAATTCCACTCCTAGGTATTTACCCAAAGGACACAGAAATATTACTTCAAAAGGGCACCTGTACCCCTATGTTTATAGCAGCACTATTTACATTTGGTAAGCTATTATGGAAACAACCCAAATGCCCCCAAATAGATGACTTGATCAAGAAGATGCGGTACATATACATGATGGAATATTATTCAACAACCAAAAAGATAAACTCATGCAATTTGCAGCACATGGATGAAGCTAGAAGGGATCATGCTCAGCGAAATAAACCAGAAAGAAGAAGAAAAATACTGGATGGTCTCACTCATAGCAGGAATTTAGAAAAACTAAATAAGGGACCAGGAAAAAGGCTAACTATAATAAAGTAAAAATCAAAATCAACAAGCAACTATAAACCAGTGATACACTGGGGGGCGGGGAGGGAGTAGGATCAAAACAAGAGGGGTGGGACTTGTATGGGGGCTATAACCAAGATCAAAATGCATACTTTGTGCAAAACTGAAAAATGATGTAAAAAATATATAAAATAAAAAAAAAATAAATTTTAAAAATGTAGGTCTTGATATAGTTAGTAGCAAATGTTGATAGAATTTGGGATCAATAGTTATACCTTTTATCACAGAGATGATGGGGATTAGTAAATATGACTAAGATTGAGTGAATAGTAGTAAGGAAAAAAACTACTGATTATATAAACCTGGTATCAGCTAGTCCTTGGAATACTTGTTATAGAGCACACAATAGAAGAGAAGTGGCAACTGCCCTGAGTCACACTCTGGGTGGAGAGGGCTGGTGTCTTGGTTTTATGGGTTTGATCACCAGTCCAGGTAGCTGGGAAGCAGGGCCCAGGGTCTGTTTCTGCATACTAGCCTGGGGATTCAACAACAGGAATGTAGGAAACATGGACCTGGTTCCAGGGGTACCTGTTACTATTCTATCCAAAATCTGAAGTAATTCCCTTAAAAATCCCTGTCTATTTTTATTCATCGCTATTTTCTTGTTTTGCTTTTTGGTGTGTTAAACTTTTATCCAACAAAGTTATAATTGTTTTTATTTTTGTTTCATTATATTTTGCTCAGTAGTCTAAAGGTGGATGATAAATGAATAGGTCTGCACTTTGAACTGGTAAAAATTTTTTCTAGAAGGTATTCAACTACTAACAGAAATGGATGTTTTGTTTTGTTTTTCTTCCTACTCCCTTTAGCTGGGTTATAATGCAATCTACTTCTTTTAGAGGAGAATGAAATATTGGTTCATCAATATCCTACTTGTTTTGTGATTCTAATGGCTTTTTTTTTAGAGATTTATTTATTTATTTATACAAGCACTGGGTACAGTCAGAAGTGCAGGAGGGTGAGAGAATTCACCAGAGCCAGAGCGGAGAGCAGAACAGGCAGGCTGACTAAATACACTGCTGAGAGGAGCTGCGGGTGGCAGGAGAGGTCTGCATGCCATGTGGGACCCTCACCAGGCGGCCGGGGATCAAACCGGCACTGCAGAGGCTGTGGGCAGCTTCGCAACCCAGCGCTCAACCACTGCGCCACTGGGGAGACCCTGTTTTGTGATTCTAAATATTCTTTACTCATAGCATTTTATTTTCACTGCCATCAAGAACAGTCATTATTTTCTAAGAGTCTTAGCAAATCCTGTACTTTTGTTTTGGTCTTAACTTATTGTTGATATGAACTTCATACCTCTATTTCAAGAGAGACTGCATATCCACACCTCTGTTGCCTTTCTAACAGATGTTTGTACAATTTAAAAATTTCCCTGCCTACTTCTACATCTCTTTAATTGGAATACCCCTTAATGTAGTCTCTTAACTTTTAACTTGAGTTCTCTCTAGCACAAATATTTAGTCAAAGATGTTTAATATAATGCATCTTGTAAGGTAAAATTAAAATGCCTTCGGGAGGCAAAATATTTTCATTTAAATCCTAAGTAATAGAAGAAAAGAAACATTAGCTTAGATTTTAATGATATAAACTTGCTATTCTTGTTTTCCACCTTTCTAAAATATTTTTAATCATTAGGTTATGCTTTAAGAGCTAATAAAATACATTTAATTTTCTTTTTGTATTGACCATTTCAAAATCTTTCTGTATTTTATGTTTTGACATCTTGAAAAGTTTTCTGGCCACACTTGCAGCCTTGTTTTAGGGCCAGCCAATTCTTTTTTTTTTTTTTTTAAAGAGTTATTTATTTATTTATTTATTTATACAAGCACTGGGTACAGTCAGAAGTGCGGGAGGGTGAGAATTCACCAGAGACAGAGCGGGGAACAGAACAGGCAGACCAATGAAATACACTGCTGTGGGGAGCAGCGGGCGCAGCAGGAGAGGTCTGTGCGCCATGTGGGACCCTCGCCAGCAGCCGGGGATCGAACCGTTGCTGCAGAGGCTTCGGGTAGCTTCACAGCCCAGCGCTCAACCGCTGGGCCCCCAGGGGAAGCCCAAGGGCCAGCCAATTCTTAGAGATAGCTAGGAGCACATCTCTCCCTTGAAAATCAACTAATATCACGGCGCCTACAATTCCAACTATCGCTTTATCTAATGCACACATTAAGTCAGTATTTCTTCTGCCTTAAATCAGCCAGGTGCCAAGTGAATAGAAATCACCACTATCCACCACAAACACTATATCACCAAATCACACCAGAATTATTCAAACTAGCCAGTTGTAAGTTGTTTACTTTTGCTTTTCCTTGCCTTTCCCATTGAAATTCCAACAAAGACTCTGTTCTCCATCATCCCTGCTTCTGTTTCCTAACTAAAATCTGGTTCTTATTCTATGCCCTAACATAGTATAGTGTGCTCCTGTTTCCCAAGACTTGTGTGTAGGGGCCTCCCTGGTGGCACAGCAGGTTGAAGGCCGCTCTGTGAAGCTGTCTGCAGCCTCTGCAGCTGGGTTCGATTCCTGGCCAGCCAGGGAGAAACCCACATGGCGTGGCAGACCTCTCCTACCTCACCCGCTGCACCCTCAGCAGTGTATTTCAGTCTGTCTGCCTGTTCTGCTCCCCACTCTGTCTCTCACCCTCCCGCTCCTCTGGCCTGTACCCCAGTTCTTGTATGAATAAATAAAATCTTAAAAAAAAGTTGTATGTAGTGAAAATCTTTCAATGATAGCCTCTCCATATCATCTTTCAGTCACCTCCATAAATTAAAATCCCTTGGTACAACAATTGGGACATTATTTGCCAAATAAGTAGAACCACATTGTCCTCAACAGAGGACTAAAATAATCGATTATCTGGTAAAATTTTAAAAGGAATTTCTGAATTAAGAAAATATAAAGTCAATAATCCTTAATTTAGCCTCACTAAATTTCTTATGAACTCGCTGATAACAGCATTAAAGAAAACATGACAACGATTGTATAGCAATTTCTCTGGATACCTATCAACAGTGAATTCCTTAAGACATTTTCCTCAGGGCCTC